GTCGGGGATACTCTTAGGATGCACACCCTGAGACTTTCACTACAATGAAGCCAACCTCATACTATGCAAAACATGTGTTAGACCACTATTAGAATACTGTCCATTTATTATTGGCAGCACTCGCATATATGACAAGCTGAGAGTGGAAAGCGTCCAGTGACATTTCAAGCCCAATCTACTTGAATAGGATTGTACGGAAGACTACATTTTGAGGTGCATATCTCTGGGTCTACACCCACTCTGAACAAGACGGCTTATTATGAACCTGACAATCTTCTTCAAGGTCCTGCACAAATTGTCATTCTCAGACAGTGAGGACACAATTCTCACCGGAAGACTGTTACGATCTGCGTGACCAAACATGCACAGTGACAATATAAGTTTCCCAATTATCACTTCGCGAAACCTTCTTCACACTCATGTATCCTGAATATGGAACAGTTTACCCCTAGAAATCAGAACCTGCCCCTCTGTACAAACTATTGCATTCCACTGACCACATAAACAATAAGGATGCACTATTTGTTTGCAGAACCAATCACACATTGGGACCATTACATATCTAAAGAACGCGTGAAACCTCACTAACTCCACTGGACAAACGATAGTCAGTTTAGTTGCATAAATATGTGAAAAGACAAGTAGAATATCAATACATATACGTAGTAGAGAGAAATGTACAGCATATATATGTAGAAACATTAAGGTGTTACTTATGTCTGCACACTTCGTCTTTTTCCGATACTTTGCTGCTTGCCTCGTCCCTCATTCACCTTGTAGTGGAAGTAGCACAGACCTACAGTATGACTGAAGCTAAGCAGGACCTGAAGACACCTACGTACATATACCACATCACTCTTCAAGCTGTTGGTTCATAATAACTTAACGTCATTGAAAGTTCCCGGGTCGCCCAATGAGGACGCTGGCTGACATTCTGTACGAGTAGTTTTCATGGTCCAAGTTGAAGACACAACTTGTTTCCAAATGGTTATCCACATCTTAATCAACTTACACTCACAGAATGCCATGCAGCTACAAATGGCGGTAACGTGAGACTACGGAGAACTATCAGCCATTTGGTGCAGGAAGGCAATTCCACATGGCTATGCCTGATACTTGTCAGCATGAAGTGTGATTCACTCCTAGTGTCACCGTACGATGATACTCCTGAGAAAATGATACAAATGTACTACTCATATTAAATTAACACACTATCTGTCTATAAATCAAGAATAAGATTCGATGCTGTACACAGCAAAGTTGTGTGGGAGAATCGACATCAATGTTTATATTTTCCTGGGTATTTATGCTACCTATCCAGTGCAGACCTGGAATTTCGTTGATGCGAAGATAATATTTCTGTATTCCATAATGTGCTACATTGACTCACTAGTTAGCAGACTGTTCCTGCTGACTAAAACCGAGAGGAACGGCAACCATGTGTATTCCCCATTAGCAGAGTTTATATGCTCTCAATTGTAAAATCTCCACAATTGAAGAATCGGTATGTCTCCAGATATATAGAAGTATATATTGTAGCATGATCAGTGAAGTACTTCATATGTTATTACAGTACACGTCTAAAACTCAAATAAATAGTTTTATAAATACGGAATAACTTTGTTAGCTATGACGAATACCGAAGTGATTGTGTGCTGAAAGTTGGTCACGAGAGTGGATATGTTCTACAATATTTAGTAACATATGGTTAATGCTGCATGAATGCAACATACTTCTCAATACTGCGACAAATGATTAATTCATATCAGTGAAATTAGCTATGTCAGCCAACTCTCAGAAACTGTCAACGTCCAGCTCTTACTACGCTGGACCTCCCGCTGTACCTGGAAGATATTCAGAAACACTTTGTATTAACCAATCCGAAAACCAGAGGACTGATTGGCGACATAAGAATCCTTTATTCTTACGCCAACATGTAACTAACATTAAGGTTATTAAACACAATGCCTAAGAATGATTGTTATAAAAATAAATCACGATAATACTTCTGATAGTCTTCTGTCTTCCACCAAACAGCGATCGATGAGACGATGACTGCTGGATTGATGACTCCGCGAAGAATATGGAGGAGTCAGGTTTGAGCAAACAACCATGAATTGATCGTTCAATCTCCAACTATATTGACAGGCTACGTTTTAGAAAAATAGACGTTATCAATTACCTGAACTTAATTAATTTAACACGGAATTCATAATAATTATGTGGCAACATCAATGCTTTTTGTGCTTTACGACAATCGCATAATAATTTCTGAAAAAGCGTTCAAAAAAAGGATTGAAATCGCTCTGGTTCCTTCCATCGGGCAGTATATCTGCGGTGAGAGTTAGCTACTAGCCAAATTCGTAGGCAGTAATTTACGTCAATGTTTGCGTCCTCAATATTTGCCGTGAGAAAAATGAGAACAAAGACTGATTCAACAACCAACCACAGCAGACTTTGCGTAGGCGGATACAGTTAGTATATATATGATCAGACATTGAAGAAACAGCCACAAAGAGATGAAAGATTAACTTTCAGTGAGAAACAAGCTGTCAGAAGGCTGTTTTTCTGCGAACAGTGATCGAAAATAATGTGCATAAAAATCTATGAATATGTGTTGATTTCCTTAATAAACGAACTGTTACCTGGCCCTTGTCTTCTGTTGTTAGTTATCTATCATACCGCAGGATGCTGTCATTTTGTATTCATCGAAATGACTTGAAATGTTCTCCTGGAGGCGTAGTACATGAGTAATAAGCAGCAGCACAGACATGCTTGGTCGATTCACCAGAACTATTTTGGTAGCGGATTTGGTACCGGGACGCATGACGATGTAATGTGACAAGTGATGAATCATGATATAGGGTAAGAGAAGGGGCTGAGTCAGCATGAATCACTTTGGGCTTCTCAATTCCAGGAAACCAGTTACACAACGAGAACAACTTTGGCTTCGCTCTCGGTTAGCTTCAAGTGGAAATAACGCTTATGATTGATGTGTGACTACCTATCTTGCTGGACCTGAGCTTTGGCCACACTACCTGCTGACTCTGGCCCAGTCAACCTAACTTTATGTGAAGGCTGTTCATAACACTGCACAAACTAGTGACGGAGGATGTAACTCCTGCGGCTGCTCAAGTTCTTTTTACTAATGATTACTTGAAGAGGATATATAAATATATCTAGCTGTAGCTGATTCACATGGTGTGTCTTGCGTACCCATCAGCAACCCTCATCTTATAAACTCACAGGAGAAATAGATAATGACAGTACTAGTAGAATATCACATCTGTCCTGAAAACTCTAACTGCCACCTTATTGTTTACTATTCTTATGTAAACTCCCAACCTTTATGGCTAAATAAGGGCGATCATAATTTTTAACCTAAATGAAATGAAATTTGAAAAATTAACACTTTTATTCCACACGTTGTTTAGTGGGCTTCTGCCTTTTTATGAACAAAGACCGCCTTGTGGTCATTTATGTCAGACAACTACGCCATCTTTCTATATTAGGGACGGATAAAGTTCTAAGCCGAATTACTTGCGTTTTAATTATAGTAGAGCCAAGTCTACATGTTGTCAGTACTGAGCACGACAAATAAAGTATCCGTAGACCATTAAAATCCTACGCGGAGCAACGGGAGTTCAGGGATCCGTTACTTGTAAAGTTAAAAATCAGGGGATTGTTAAGAATTTTAGGTGGGTTGTTGAGTATCTTCCTCCATTCATTTCAAAAATATATAAGACAGCCTATTCACACTTAGCTACTGTCGGCTTTGGAGGGATTTGATTACTGCCTACAAGATAGTAAATGACAGAATCACAAACGAGGGTGTTCTGCCATTGAGTAGGTATACGCTTCCTCGTGAAAATCCCAGAAGGATAGCTTACAAGAGGGCAAGGACCAGGGTGAGCCCCCACTTCTTTTCACTACGCCTTTGCTGTCCCTGGAACTCCTTACTCGCAGATGCAGCTACGGCACCGTCTGTGAACACCTTCAAACGAAGGCTGGATAATCATGCAGCGACGCAAGGACTACGTCCAAAAGGCCTACCCCTTAAAATCCCTACACCATCCGGGGGTAGACAATTAAGATAGTCGTTTAACTTCTTTATATTCTCTCCCGTCTTCCTCTTCCTGACTTATTATTATTACTGATATATATAAACTTCAAATTTAATTAGTTATCTGCTTTACGTTTTCTTTATTTCTTTTCCTGTCCTTTAGCCTGAATAACTTCACTAATTATATCTACCATCATTATTGTTATCTCTTTTCTTATGACGACGATATCAGAGGATTAACTGGTGAATTGATCAACTCCATTCACAGTAGTAACTGTCTGAACACACCTCATGCTACAAACCACATATAATTAATCCCAACACTACTCCTTTTGGAGTCAACCGAAGCTGCGACAGTCGAATAGCGGGGCAGAACTTTACAGAAGAACAGGAACCTTTACTTCATAACCAAGAAGCCTCCACAAAGGAATCAAATTGGTTCACACTAGCTTCTAAAAACGCTATTGGATATTGAAGTATGCCTAAATCCAATGAATTGCTTTCTTCAATGAGGTTCACGCCCGAATCACGGATAAGCCCAGAAAATTAACCTTATCACTACACAAAAACTAGATGACAGCCAAATAGTTATAGTGATTATTTTCTTTTGTTCGAAATGTTTTGCCCTCACACTTTGAAAACTTCAAATCAGAAATCCCATCTCATCAGTATTTCAAAGATGAATACTGCTTGTCTCAACCTCTCAGTGCGCGGAGATTAGAAGGGGCGATGCAACGAATGGATAATATAAATTACGCTCTGTTGGATTCAGAATAAATACTAAATGTGAAGGGTCATCCAAAGAGTAGTGCTTGAAAGTGCATTTATAGTGGTCAAAGAGAATGCTAACCAATGAATTTTCTTTCCATGGAGAGCATATTATCCTGTCAAGAAGCCTTTGCATTTGTTTACTGTGTAGTGATCAATGCAGACACTTTAAAAGCCTTAATTAGCTCGAAACGTTACATGTAAAACTAGGGAAGAATTCTCTGACCCATCCTGAAGAAAAGTGAAAAACGTTCGTATTTCGTGGTAATAGGAAAGTTCTTAAATTTAATAGATGGAGTGAAAACGGACAGGCAGCTGATTTGTTATATTACACAAAGTGTGAAGACCTTGGCGTATATCAATGTTCTAGGTCATATGTCTTCGTGTTCGGATGATTTCGTTGATGCTGATGACTGTTCGCCCAGATCTTTTTCTCCAAAAGCTGGAGAAACTAAGGGTTTCGGGGACTCCTCGGGAAACGACGAACCAGAAGTAAAGGCAGAAGAGGAAAGAAAAGCAGACGAAAATTTATTAACTGACCTTGAAATTGAGGTTTGACTGTCTTATCATACAATATTTTAAGACCCGACGTGATGACGCAGTGAAAATGAAAGATGATGGAAACATCCTTTTCAAATCTGGCTTATTCAATGAGGCTTTGTTGAAGTATACAGAAGCTTTGGACCTTTGTCCCTTAAAATATTGTATCGAGCGTTCAATCATATATGCTAACAGAGCTGCGTGTCATATAAAACTAGTGAGTTACATTTTAAATGTCCACTGTGATGTATTAGGCGTGTATTCTTAATGTCACGGTCGTATCTATTTGAGCGTGTTTCTTAACTCGCAGAAGTTTATTTGTCTTCTGGTGCTGGTGTAGTTCGTTCAATGGTTATGAAGTCAACATAGCTCTAAACCATGTATGGTAAATCCGAAGTCATTTAACATTCTGAGGGCTGTAAACGTTTCTCGTTACTTCTGAGTTAAGTAATGATAGGATTCCCTACCGTATAATTCAACTCACCAGGAACCTTCTGAGTAAATTCAGGTTTATGAATACGAACTCTTCTGTAATTGAATTTCTGTATACGTTTGGACTTAACTAAGCTGTCATCAAGATTGCGAAATTGTCACACGATGCCAGTTATCAACAACGAATGTTTGACAAAACCCTAGTAGATTTCCCTATTCTCAACTAATAAGTGAGAAGACTTAGACAGTGGTATTGGAACGCGTATTCCAGTAGAGCGCGTTGAGGATATCTATCTTTCAGAACACAGATAGTACCATGGGAATTTATGGCATAGAAGCATAGGGCTAGTAGTGTGCCTTTAGTTGTTTGTCCGACTGATACGTAATATTTAGGCAGTTTGAATTCCGGATGATAGACTGGAGGGCTAGTCTATGGCCAGAACTTTATCTGTATTGGACATGTGTGTAATAACCCATGTTTTCAGTCACGACTTAAATGAAAGAGTAGTCCAGCTTATGGGTTATTTTACCGACTTCATTCTAGTTTCGATAGGGATAAAATATTGCTCTATTATTCGTTTGATTTGGGTTTCTTCAGGCCAGTTAGTGAGCTTCTGTACTCAAAGAAGTTTACCAAGAAAATTTTTTTTGACCTTAGTCACCATGTCACCAACAATTGGTGACATGGCTCTAAATCGTTCTCAGTGGCGCAGATGCATCCACTCCTTGTGACTTATGATCTCCAATGAAACTGTTTTGTTCTTCGTTATTACTCTTCCTTTGTCTCACACCTCTGTTTACTGTCTCTATTATGCTTTTCTTGTACTTTCTTCTCTTGCTTCGCGTGCTACACGGAGTGTGGCGACTTGAACTGGCGCACATATGTGCAAAGTTCTATGTCGAAAACAGACAGACCGAGAAAACTACAGTTACAGCTGTTCGCGTTTTTGTGGGTTTAATTTTGAAGGTAGCTCATCTTTCCTGATAGATCAGTGTAGACACATTAGGAAGGTTTAATTAATATCTTAAATTCTTAGTAGAAATCTAAACACTTAGCCATGAAGTTAGAATTGAAGGGTAATCAATAATTGTGTTATTTAATTAAAAAAGCGGTCATTATAAATAGTGACCATTTCAAAACTGAGAAATCATATATTTAGTTTATACGTAGGCATAAAATATGTTATTGACTCCTGCACCTGATATTCATCGGATCAAATCCAGTTCCTCCAGTCTAGAGTATTGTCAGATCCCATGTCTGTCTATTTTCGACATAGAACTTTGCACAAATGTGCGGCAGTCCAAGTCGCCACACTCCGTGTAGCACGCGAAGCAAGAGAAGAAAGTACAAGAAAAGCATAATAGAGACAGTAAACAGAGGTGTGAGACAAAGGAAGAGTAATAACGAAGAACAAAACAGTTTCATTGGAGATCATAAGTCACAAGGAGTGGATGCATCTGCGCCACTGAGAACGATTTTGAGCCATGTCACCAATTGTTTCCAACCATTGGTTTTTACCGTCCCGAGGACCCCAACCGGGAAGTCTACACCTTCCTACGTGGCTGGCTTAAACTAATTGTTGTGGATTTCATTGACTGGTGCCAAGTTTTTGTTTGACCTCCGCTAGCTTTTTTCCAGCCTGACCCTATATCCACTAACACTGCTCGTCGAGGAAGGCGATGGCTAGGCATGCGTAACACATGTCTTAACCATCTCAGTCGATGTAATCTCACAGCCTCGTCGATTGATTTCCCCTCCTTACCTAGCACTCGACGCCTAACCTCAATTTGCTCGCCTTATTATACCACTTCACACGGGAGATAGAGCGAAGGCACCTATGATCAAAGACAGCTAATCTTTTCATGTCTTCCACTCTCAATGGTCAGGTCTGACAGCCACCCATAGAGAAGGACGGGGCGGACTGATGAGCAGTACACCCGCCCTTTGGCCGATAGTCGGATATCACGTCTACTAAGCCAAAGACAGCGTAAACTGGCATATGCTAAACTAGCCCTCTGTATCCGTACTGAGATTTCGTCAGAGATCAACCCGTTGGCACTGGCTGATGGTACTTCCCAAATAAGTGAAGCGGTCAACGTGCTCTACCACTTCACTTCCTATTTCTAAACTAGGAGTCAGTGTGGTCAAGTCCTGTAACATCATCTTGCATTTGACGGGAGCGAATCGCATGCCAAACATTCGTAGATTGCAGCTCAAGGTGTTTAGAAGACTCTGCATTTTGTCAGCGTCTTCGCCTAGAAGGACTATATCGTCTGCATATTCTAAGTCAACGAGATTATTCCCTGGTAGCAAGTCAATCCCTGAGTCGCTGAAGTCACTTAGGGTTAAGCCCATTAGTATATATATGATGAAGTTGAATAGAAAAGGGGATAATGGGCATCCTTGACGGACACCACTAATCGTCACCAGTTCAGATGACAACTCGCCGTAAGCCCTCACCTGGCTGTATGAGTACGAGTAGAGTCCCTTAATCAGTGCAATATATTTTCTCGGAATTCCCTTTACAGCCAAGCATCTCCAGAGAACTCGATCGACAGAGTCGAATGCTGCCTTAAGGTCAAGAAATATAATGACTGTTGGACGCCGGTAGGAATGCCTATGTTCTAGAATCTGTCGGAGGGTGAAGATATGATCAATACACCCTCTTCCTGGTCTAAAGCCTGCCTGGCTCTCTCGTGTTTGTGCTTCCCGAGCACCACTCAGTCTACGCATTATTATTGAGCCTAAGACTTAAGATACTATTTTAGTCAAGCTAATCCCTCTGTGATTATCACAGGAAGACTTGTCTCCCTTCTTGTATATGGGGATAATCAGTGACTTACACCAACCCAATGGGACTTCTTCTGATTCCCAGACGCTGCCTAGTACCTCAGTTAACGCAGAGAGTAAACTGTCTCCACCGTACTTAAATACCTCTGGAGTCATTCCATCAGGTCCCGCTGCTTTGCCTAGTTTCAGATTGGTGACAGCTTTAGTAACCTCAGTTAGGACGGAGGACCTGTGTCTATATCCCATTCAGGGAGGTTTTGGATGTTCGGCAGGTTGAGCGTGGCTATGGGCCAACCAAACTGCTCCTCATAGTGCTCTTTCCAGCGATCCAGTCGTCTATCCTGGGAGCTAATTATAGTGCCATTTTTCTCCGAGATTGTTTCACTAATGATTTGCCTTCTCCCACCCGTTTCCCTGATGAGTCTAAATAGTTGCCTGGTGTTGCCTATCCTCGAAGCTTTTTCCATCTCTTTCGCCTTTGTCACCCACCACTGTTCACGGTCCTTGCGGAGACTTTTCGTAAGTTTCCTTTTGTGCAGCTTTCGCTCCTCATTGAATTCGGAGCTCGCCGGAATAAGTCTCCTAGCATCCATCAGTTCGGATGAGGCGGTGGAGATCCAGTGGTTTTTACTCACCTTTGGGTTTAACTTATTCACAGCTTTTACAGCTGTGTCTATGGCTGCCTGGATATTCTTCCAAGCTTTTTCAGGGTGAGCACAGCTGTCGAACACAGATATGTGTTTAGCTAGTTCTTCCTCAAATACGGATTTAGTTTCCTGATTGAGCTGGGGACGTGATGGTTTTACCGCCAGCTGTTTCCTACGTCCGTTCAGTCGTAGGCACACACGAGCGCGGACCAGTGCGTGGTCGGTATCTACACACGTGTTCCAGAAGGAGCGACAATCTCCTACCGACCCACGCCAACGATAGCTTATTGCTATGTGGTCAGATCCCATAGTCTATTTAAACTCATTTAACTATAATACATCTCTTGAATCCCGGAATATAGGCTACACTTTTTGTATGGAGGTGATGGTACTACGTAGTTACCCTGACTGAAGTAGGTGTAGCCAGATTCGAATGCGTAAATATATGCTAAAGACCTAGTGCTTCAACCAAGAGTCCCACGTAAAAATCATAATCCAAATAACTGAATTTTAATAATTATAAAACTAATGTTCAAGTGTGATCTAAACTAAAAGTGGGATTTTTCGCAAACTCACCATGCACCTGTCAACTTATCATGATTTATCTCCGAGTCTAGTTGCTTGAAAGATAAGTGTTCTATCTTGTAAGGTAGTCTAAGTAAGTATCTAGTTGGTTCTTGTGTCCCAAAATCTGTATTATATTGCTACTAAAGTTTTTTGATCAACTCAATGAAATGCAGACATTGAAGCTACAGAGCGTAGTTTCGAATCCATTTGGGAACGGTCATGTTATAAACAGGGATTATTAAGTAGAACAAACTGTAACTAAACATAAAAGTGCACCGAGTCTTTGGTCGTATCTTCACCCTTCCACAGATTCTAGAACAGGCATTCCTACCGGCGTCCAACAATCATCATATTTCTTGACCTTAAGGCAGTATTCGACTCTGTCGATCGAGTTCTCTGGAGATGCTTGCCTGTAAAGGGAATCCCGAGGAAATATATTGCACTGATTAAGGGACTCTACTCGTACTCATACAGCCAGGTGAGGGCTTACGGCGAGTTGTCATCTGAACTGGTGACGATTAGTGGTGTCCGCCAGGGATGCCCATTATCCCCTTTTCTATTCAACTTCATCATATATATACTAATGGGCTTAACCCTAAGTGACCTCAGCGACTCAGGGATTGACTTGCTACCAGGGAATAATCTCGTTGACTTAGAATATGCAGACGATATAGTCCTTCTAGGCGAGGACGCTGACAAAATGCAGAGTCTTCTAAACACCTTGAGCTGCAATCTACGAAGGTTTGGCATGCGATTCGCTCCCGTCAAATGCAAGATGATGTTACAGGACTTGATCACACTGACTCCTAGTTTAGAAATAGGAAGTGAAGTGGCAGAGCACGTTGACCGCTTCACTTATTTGGGAAGTACCATCAGCCAGTGCCAACGGGTTGATCTCTGACGAAATCTCAGTACGGATACAGAGGGCTAGTTTAGCATATGCCAGTTTACGCTGTCTTTGGCTTAGTAGACGTGATATCCGACTATCGGCCAAAGGGCGGGTGTACTGCTCATCAGTCCGCCCCGTCCTTCTCTATGGGTGGCTGTCAGACCTGACCATTGAGAGTGGAAGACATGAAAAGATTAGCTGTCTTTGATCATAGGTGCCTTCGCTCTATCTCCCGTGTGAAGTGGTATAATAAGGCGAGCAAATTGAGGTTAGGCGTCGAGTGCTAGGTAAGGAGGGGAAATCAATCGACGAGGCTGTGAGATTACATCGACTGAGATGGTTAAGACATGTGTTACGCATGCCTAGCCATCGCCTTCCTCGACGAGCAGTGTTAGTGGATATAGGGTCAGGCTGGAAAAAAGCTAGCGGAGGTCAAACAAAAACTTGGCACCAGTCAATGAAATCCACAACAGTTAGTTTAAGCCAGCCACGTAGGAAGGTGTAGACTTCCCGGTTGGGGTCCTCGGGACGGTAAAAACCAATGGTTGGAAACAATTGGTGACATGGCTCAAAATCGTTCTCAGTGGCGCAGATGCATCCACTCCTTGTGACTTATGATCTCCAATGAAACTGTTTTGTTCTTCGTTATTACTCTTCCTTTGTCTCACACCTCTGTTTACTGTCTCTATTATGCATTTCTTCTCTTGCTTTGTGTGCTACATGGAGGGACTGTGGCGGCTTGAACTGCCGCACAGAGGTGCAAAGCTCTATGTTGAAAACAGACACAGTACGGAGTTAGATTCCTTTCCTCTTTAGTAGGACGAGAAGTCGATAGGGTTCCTGCGAGACTGGAAAAATAATTACTTTATGGTTGGTTGATTTGGATTTGATATAGAGAATTCTGCGCACTAATCTTGGGATTTTACTTAACTTGATTTTGATTTTTTTTTATTTACAGCTTGATTCCTCACCGTATTTTTGGTACAAGTATGGAACTTTCAGCGTGGATATCGGTAGTCCAAAATTCGCAGGCCGACCATAGATATCGGGTGTGCGTCGGCGTGGGCTTGAACCCCGGACCATGTGCATGGTAGGCGAGGATCCTAACCACTGTGCCACCGATGCTCGTAATTGATGACATCTATTTTATTATTCAGGACAAAACCTATGAGTTATTCATAGTTTCGATTTTTCGTAGACTTGCTGTTTTACTTGTATCAAAGACTTATAACTTCACTGCTAACATAACTGGTAGAAGTTTTTAAGAGTATGGTCATAGTGTAAGCTATTGTTTCGATTGTATTTACTTACAGGATTCTCCAGAGGCTGCACTTCTGGATTGCAATGAATCCCTGAATTTGCAACCGGATTATGTTAAGTGCTTGGAGCGGCGCGCTACTCTGTTGGAAAGCAAGGATAGATTAACCGATGCATTGGAAGATTATGAAAAGCTTTTACGGCTAGATCCCAACAATCAACGGGCTCGTTATGCATGCGCTGTAAGTTCGTTTGGGATTGTAGGGTTTCTGTATCAGCCATTTTTATATATCTAGGTTAATTAATGTGTTAACTTTTTTACCTAACAGTTAATTTGTTATATATGTAATAAATATACGAATCATTCCTCATAGCACCTAAATTACATATATTCAATGATAGTTATGTATTAATAATATCTAGATATCATTTCGATGTCTCCTTTAGAGATTTAATAACTTCACCTTCAATGCGAAGTTGTTTTAAATCTGGTGGTATACAAATGGTTTGTTAGGAATGGTTGAGGATTTGTGAAGATGCAGCTCATTAGTTCAAGTACTTGGCCAACGGTCGCCGGCCCGAATCCCTCTAAACTTAGCTCAACCTGGGTAAGTGGTCAGTACTTTCACTCCTCATACACTCATAATAGATCATAACCCGGGTGCATGTAAACTATCTTCTAGGTAAATGAGCCTTAGCGCCCTCAAAATGATCAGAATTGGAGTTTGAAGACTTGATAGCATGTCTCAAAGTCATTTTCGCTGTTGCGAAGGTAGTCTGTCTTCATAAACCAGTTTTCTCATAAAATAAACTGAGTCCAGAATGTAAATAAAATGTTTGTGTGATATTTATTTTACTTACCATTTCGAATTCTGTCTGTCTGTCTGTTTTCGACATAGAACTTTGCACAAATGTGCGGAAGTTCAAGTCGCCACATTCCGTGTAGCACGCGAAGCAAGAGAAGAAAGTACAAGAAAAGCATAACAGAAACAGTGAGCAGAGGTGTGAGACAAAGGAAGAGTAATAACGAAGAACAAAACAGTTTCATTGGAGATCATAAGTCACAAGGAGTGGATGCATCTGCGCCACTGAGAACGATTTTGAGCCATGTCACCAATTGTTTCCAACCATTGATTTTTACCGTCCCGAGGACCCCAACCGGGAAGTCTACACCTTCCTACGTGGCTGGCTTAAACTAACTGTTGTGGATTTCATTGACTGGTGCCAAGTTTTTGTTTGACCGCCGCTAGCTTTTTTCCAGCCTGACCCTATATCCGCTAACATTGCTCCTCGAGGAAGGGAATGACTTGGCATACGTAACACATGTCCTAACCATCTCAGTCGATGTAATCTCACAGCCTCGTCGATTGATTTCCCCTCCTTACCTAGCACTCGACACCTAACCTCAATTTGCTCGCCTTATTATACCACTTCACACGGGAGATAGAGCGAAGGCACCTATGATCAAAGACAGCTAATCTTTTCATGTCTTCCACTCTCAATGGTCAGGTCTGACAGCCACCCATAGAGAAGGACGGGGCGGACTGATGAGCAGTACACCCGCCCTTTGGCCGATAGTCGGATATCACGTCTACTAAGCCAAAGACAGCGTAAACTGGCATATGCTAAACTAGCCCTCTGTATCCGTACTGAGATTTCGTCAGAGATCAACCCGTTGGCACTGGCTGATGGTACTTCCCAAATAAGTGAAGCGGTCAACGTGCTCTGCCACTTCACTTCCTATTTCTAAACTAGGAGTCAGTGTGATCAAGTCCTGTAACATCATCTTGCATTTGACGGGAGCGAATCGCATGCCAAACCTTCGTAGATTGCAGCTCAAGGTGTTTAGAAGACTCTGCATTTTGTCAGCGTCCTCGCCTAGAAGGACTATATCGTCTGCATATTCTAAGTCAACGAGATTATTCCCTGGTAGCAAGTCAATCCCTGAGTCGCTGAGGTCACTTAGGGTTAAGCCCATTAGTATATATATGATGAAGTTGAATAGAAAAGGGGATAATGGGCGTCCCTGGCGGACACCACTAATCGTCACCAGTTCAGATGACAACTCGCCGTAAGCCCTCACCTGGCTGTATGAGTACGAGTAGAGTCCCTTAATCAGTGCAATATATTTCCTCGGGATTCCCTTTACAGGCAAGCATCTCCAGAGAACTCGATCGACAGAGTCGAATACTGCCTTAAGGTCAAGAAATATGATGATTGTTGGACGCCGGTAGGAATGCCTGTTCTAGAATCTGTCGGAGGGTGAAGATATGATCAATACACCCTCTTCCTGGTCTAAAGGCTGCCTGGCTCTCTCGTGTTTGTGCTTCCCGAGCACCACTCAGTCTACGCATGATTATTGAGCCTAAGACTTTAGATACTATATTAGTCAGGCTAATCCCTCTGTGGTTATCACAGGAAGACGTGTCTCCCTTCTTGTATATGGGGATAATCAGTGACTTACACCAACCCGAATTCACTTTTGATCGAGTTGTGTTTACCTAAAACAGCCCCAAATTTAATCATTTTTGCTATTGAAATTATTGCTTTTAAGACACATCTCCCAAGAAGACATTAACTAGGGGTGCTAGACCTGTCTTTTTTAGTGCACAATTCTATCGGATATCTAGTCTAAGGATTGTATTAAGAAAGATACATCACCATCATCATTCACTGGTAAGACTGGAAGTCAATGGTTTACGTCTCTTGAGACTTTCGTCCGTTTGGGAAACAGTACGACTTTCATCTTTTTTTTACCATAGAATTTCGGGATGTAGATAGTGAGATAATGACTCTAGTACTCGTATGTTAACTTTCAACATATATGTACCTGTTTAAATTAGACAAGAAACAGTTAATAAGGTAAAGCAAAACCAACAGAATGGTCGTCGAAACTGTGATATATGTTTCGGGACTGACGTTGCCAAACCGAGTTGTGTGTGTGGTTAGGGGTCGTGTACGAACATTTCAGCACAGTACGACGATGTACCGCTTGGGGAGACTATTTGATCAAATGCTTCTAGCGTAGCCACCAGTACACTGAAACAACTCCAATTCCACTTGTTGACAGAGCTGTAGATTATTCACTTTATTATTAATTCGCTCCCACAGGAGTATGATTTTTATGGATGTATGATTTATGGATTCGAATATAAAGAGGCTGCAGAGTAATATATCCCACTTTGGTTGTACATATGAATGCCTCCACCCATATGTACCATAGTCAAGTTAGAACAACATACTTTTGATGTCATAGGACTTTAAAACAACAAACCGGATTTCAGCTTTACACGAAGTTCTTAAAGGGATGAAGTTCAGTAGTGTTACGACTCAAATACTTTCTAGAAATTTGTCTGATAGAATAGAGTGGAATCGAATGATTTCATGTCAGTTATGTCAAAAACGATGCCACTCTTTTTGGTTTCCAGACGACTTTTTGTTTTGCTTCTTCCTAGACTTTCCCGGAGCGCATTCAAATTCAGAATGAGAAAATGAAGGAAGAAATGTTAGGGCAATTAAAGCAGTTGGGTAATCTTCTATTAAAACCTTTTGGTTTATCAACAAATAACTTCAAAGTACAAAAGAATCCTGATTCTGAAGGTTATTCCATAAATTTTATTCAAAATGCTTCTACCTCATCTCAGTGATGACTTGTGAATGTGTGCGTTTATTAATATTATTGTATCTTCATACGTTACCAATTTGCCGATAACTGTGACGTCTTTTTTGTATTTATTACCTGCCTATTGACTTATATGAAATGAACCTTCCAAGTGTGTTAACCCAAATGCGGTTTGGTACTTTATTATTTACCAAAAAGATTCGAAATACATATTTACATGACATATAAGCTTCAACTTTCAGTTTTCAAAGAAGTGGGTAATGTCTGTTTGTTTTCATTGCATTGTCTGCTTTCGAAACCATGTGAGTAGGCTCCTGTGACAATACTAACCATTTAAAAGGCAATCCGAATGCTTTGGAAGAATTTGAGGTACTGTCAGTATGCCTTCATAGAATAATTATGTCACAGTATTGTGACTTTTTACGCACTTTGCAGTTTTCCACCAATGGCTTACTAGATTTCTAGTAAAAACAAATATGGTTTCATTCGGTATATTTCAAATGCTGAGTCAGCCTGCTTACTTAATTGATTTTATTTCTAGAACAATCTCCTAAGTACTATTTTCTCCAACTTTGTCTTGTGGGAAAACGTCAGATACCAAGGTAGGGTGACAACAGTCTCAGACAAACGCAGACAACTCTCACTTCGACTATAATCTCCTATAGAAACACCGACCAGGGAATCAACGGAAATATTGAATACCGGTAGAAACAGTCCAAGGACATAACAAATATTTCAGTTCGCAATACAAGTAAATGCGTAAAACACTACATCACTCATTCCCTTCACAAAATTCATCGTATATATACTTCCCATCCATTAACAAGCAAACAGAAGAACAAAACAAAGCGTAAGCCAGCGACCCTTCACCAAAAAATTTCCCATTCATTCTCCAATTTCCTCCTCGTGCAACAGAAAATGACTTTTTACATAAAATGTGTGTCTCTCACTCGACGGATGTACTGCTTTGCTTCCATTGTAGTGCAGGTTTTCTTGTTTTCTCAGGTGATTAGTTTTGGTGGTTTGTGATTCGACTGACTGACTATCTGTCCCCCTCTGTGCAAGGACTCCACAATCTCTGAGTGTTGTGTCATGGACTACTCATCACCTTTTGAGATGAGTTTGCGCCTGTGGTGTTGTGAGCTCTGTGAAGGAGTGAATTCTCAGCGACACACGAAGACGTGCTCGTATATGTGTTGAAGTGGTATGTGTGTGTGGGGGAGTTTATTTCGTTTGTGTGGAGTGTGTGCGTGCGTGTTAGCAATGGGGCATTAGTTTATTGTCCATAATACTTGTGTGATTAGATGGAGTGATTGGTGTGTGAGATGTATTGTGTAATGAATTATAATTGGTGAGTGGTTATTGAGACTTTAGTTTTTGGTTTTGGGTTGGTGTGTGTTATTGGTTAGTGGAGATATTTAGCGGATCACTGATGGGGTGTGTGGTTTATTTGGTGTGGACTAATCGGTTGTGTGTTCGCGTTTGAGCATAGATTTGCGGAGTGTATCCTGGATTTCACTTTGTTGATGTGGAGTGTTTGTGTGGTCGATAATGGGAGGGATTGGAGAGTGCGTTGAAAATTTTTCCACTGTCTGTGTGAGTTGTGTTGGTAGGTTGACTTGAGCGTATGTGTGTATGTGTATCTGTGTGTATGTGCTTTCAGTATAATGTTTGGCTCTGATGTTGAGTTAGGCAGTGAAGCGTGTTAGTTTTGTTGATGCATGTTGTGTCTGGTGGCTGCTATTGTGTGTGAGTTTCAGTGTCAGGGCGACTGTGTGTGTGGTTGGCGTCGGTGGCACAGTGGTTAGGACTCCCGCCGACCATGCACATGGTCCGGGGTTCGAGCCCACGCTGACGCACACCTGATATCTATGGTCGGCCTGTGAATTTCGGGCTACCGATATCCACGCTGAAAATTCCACACTTGTACCAAAAATACGGTGTGGAGTCAAGCTGTAATCAAAAATAAAAAAAAATAAAATAAAAAAGTATTGTTGGGATGGTAATTGATGGTTTCTGTTCCTGAATGTTGGTCGTATTTCGCGTCTCGCTGAAGTAGACTTTCGGGGGTGTGATGTTACTCTTAAGCGTAATAGTGTTTGTTGTGGGTGGGTGAAGTGTTTGTTTACTGGCTTGTTTTTAATTTTCGGTTATTTCGTGTATCTCGTGTGTATTGTTCGTATTTGTGTCTTACCTTAACGTGAGTGTCCTAAGAAAGACGGATTATCTTGTGTGAGGATACAATTTTTGTTGTCTTATTTTTTAATAACTTTTCGCACTGACGAAATTTGTGTGAGCACTTGATTTATCCCACGATCGAGCGATATATTCTCTGCCGTATGCACGAGTTACTAAATTTCCTCTCATTGTGGATGTACTACCAAATACAGCTACTTTTCACGGTATGACCATTTAAATGTATCGTTTTCGGCAATAGACCGTATGTAAATTATTTACGTCGGTTGTGTCATGAATATCCATACTTTCTTCAGCTACATCAACTTCTATTTCTACTTCACGTTCAAATTGTGCAAAACCTTTAACTCACTAACATTAAGCATTCTGTTCATCGTGATCAGCTGAGGATAAATGTTCATCATCACGATCACAGATGTCCACTTTGTTGTCGATTGGGCAATCGGGTTCATCATTTGCATTAATAATAGCAATAGATGACCTTAACGTTTCATTGTTAATCTCTTAAGGAGTTTTTATAATCTCAGCTTTAACTAGTAATACTATGTAAGGTTGTGGAATCAGAACTGCGTTCTGAGACCGCAACCTTCTGCATAGATTCAGGCATCTTATATAGCACAACACACTCAACAACGGCTTATGAGCATCAACTACGAGCTTTTCCGGTGCACCAGCATCTCTATCATTAAAAGAATCTGAGTCGGAACTCAATGACGCTGACTTTCCAACCTATGGTCCTACACACTGTATAAAGCATCGTTCAAGGAAACCGTTGTGCCTTGCAGCGCAGTCGAACACTACACGCAGTTTACCGAGGTTTTTTGGGTTGTGAGGTAGATATCACCTTCCTGGTTAGCCTTGATTTATCACTCTTTATGTGCCTAACATTTCGTCATGTGTTTATCAATGACATCCTTGTATTTAATCCACAGATTTGAGTCTAGGAAAAGCCCCCTCTTGGACTCATAAGTGGCTTAAATGCAACATTGAGGTTACGAATCAGTCGGTCATCCTTATGTTTCCACGGTAGTCCATATATGTGCGGTAACCCTTTCTTAAACATTAACACTATCACAGATCTTGGGATAACATGTCTGTCTGTCTGTTTTCAACATAGAGCTTTGCACCTTTGTGCGGCAGTTCAAGTCGCCACAGTCCCTCCATGTAGCACACAAAGCAAGAGAAGAAATGCATAATAGAGACAGTAAACAGAGGTGTGAGACAAAGGAAGAGTAATAACGAAGAACAAAACAGTTTCATTGGAGATCATAAGTCACAAGGAGTGGATGCATCTGCGCCACTGAGAACGATTTTGAGCCATGTCACCAATTGTTTCCAACCATAGATTTTTACCGTCCCGAGGACCCCAACCGGGAAGTCTACACCTTCCTACGTGGCTGGCTTAAACTAACTGTTGTGGATTTCATTGACTGGTGCCAAGTTTTTGTTTGACCGCCGCTAGCTTTTTTCCAGCCTGACCCTATATCCGCTAACATTGCTCCTCGAGGAAGGGAATGACTTGGCATACGTAACACATGTCCTAACCATCTCAGTCGATGTAATCTCACAGCCTCGTCGATTGATTTCCCCTCCTTACCTAGCACTCGACACCTAACCTCAATTTGCTCGCCTTATTATACCACTTCACACGGGAGATAGAGCGAAGGCACCTATGATCAAAGACAGCTAATCTTTTCATGTCTTCCACTCTCAATGGTCAGGTCTGACAGCCACCCATAGAGAAGGACGGGGCGGACTGATGAGCAGTACACCCGCCCTTTGGCCGATAGTCGGATATCACGTCTACTAAGCCAAAGACAGCGTAAACTGGCATATGCTAAACTAGCCCTCTGTATCCGTACTGAGATTTCGTCAGAGATCAACCCGTTGGCACTGGCTGATGGTACTTCCCAAATAAGTGAAGCGGTCAACGTGCTCTGCCACTTCACTTCCTATTTCTAAACTAGGAGTCAGTGTGATCAAGTCCTGTAACATCATCTTGCATTTGACGGGAGCGAATCGCATGCCAAACCTTCGTAGATTGCAGCTCAAGGTGTTTAGAAGACTCTGCATTTTGTCAGCGTCCTCGCCTAGAAGGACTATATCGTCTGCATATTCTAAGTCAACGAGATTATTCCCTGGTAGCAAGTCAATCCCTGAGTCGCTGAGGTCACTTAGGGTTAAGCCCATTAGTATATATATGATGAAGTTGAATAGAAAAGGGGATAATGGGCATCCCTGGCGGACACCACTAATCGTCACCAGTTCAGATGACAACTCGCCGTAAGCCCTCACCTGGCTGTATGAGTACGAGTAGAGTCCCTTAATCAGTGCAATATATTTCCTCGGGATTCCCTTTACAGGCAAGCATCTCCAGAGAACTCGATCGACAGAGTCGAATACTGCCTTAAGGTCAAGAAATATGATGATTGTTGGACGCCGGTAGGAATGCCTGTTCTAGAATCTGTGGAAGGGTGAAGATACGACCAAAGACTCGGTGCACTTTTATGTTTAGTTACAGTTTGTTCTACTTAATAATCCCTGTTTATAACATGACCGTTCCCAAATGGATTCGAAACTACGCTCTGTAGCTTCAATGTCTGCATTTCATTGAGTTGATCAAAAAACTTTAGTTGCAATATAATACAGATTTTGGGACACAAGAACCAACTAGATACTTACTTAGACTACCTTACAAGATAGAACACTTATCTTTCAAGCAACTAGACTCGGAGATAAATCATGATAAGTTGACAGGTGTATGGTGAGTTTGCGAAAAATCCCACTTTTAGTTTAGATCACACTTGAACATTAGTTTTATAATTATTAAAATTCAGTTATTTGGATTATGATTTTTACGTGGGACTCATTGGTTGAAGCACTAGGTCTTTAGCATATATTTACGCATTCGAATCTGGCTACACCTACTTCAGTCAGGGTAACTACGTAGTACCATCACCTCCATACAAAAAGTGTAGCCTATATTCCAGGATTCAAGAGATGTATTATAGTTAAATGAGTTTAAA